CAGTTGAAATAAAATAATGGGGATGGCCTTTTCTCCTCCAACCCGAAGGTATACTCAGAATACGACGCTACGGCAAGAAGTTAAAGACTGAAGCAACAGTAAAGATATTCGCTTATTCAAATCAGCAATTCGCCTTCCAGTATTTTTGAAATCTTTAGGCTACAAAAAGTATTGTTTCCTGAACACTTAGATTTCCTCACCGGACCAATACTAGCCATCAGAGAACTAAATATTAACAACAAATTCCAACATTTTCTCACCTGAAACTGAAATTTTAACTTTCTTCGGAACAATGCTGAGCACGCATGAGGTACACAGATACTTTCCCAAAATCAACAACCGTAAGCAAATCAACTGGCACGAAATAAATACATAATGCCACTATAGTTTCAAATTTTTTTCTTTTGTGTACTTCTTCACTAATCAAAAGGCAGAAAAATGTATAGGATCTGATTTTAAACCATTCTATATTATCACTTCACTCTTGAAAATGCTTTCAATGAAATATACTATCACCAATAAACGAAACACCCAATTCTGAAAGTGCACCTAGAATCACATCTTTACATAACAATCTCTGATCTATAAAGAAAATCAAAACCCTCAAGTACAACTTACCCTTAAGTCAATTAAGTGATTAAAATTTTATCCACCCAAATTCTAAAAAAGGTTCCCTTTTACTGCCTTGCCACCCTCTAAAACAAGAAATTTTAAGTTATGAATCTGAAAACAACCGTAATAACGTGCTTACCAAAGAATTAGAATTCTGAACAAAATTCTTTTCTCCCAAGTTACCAGCAAAACAAAACAGAAAAAGCAACTCTTTTTGAAACTTATCTCTTTCTTGCCCATACTAAAGAGAAGATCCCAGTTTTATTTAATTAAACACTTCTCGCTTTTAAAATTAGCACAAAAGGAAACTTGTCCGTTTCAAAACAAAACTGAATGCACGCCAATCTTCAGAAAGGGAACATACATACCCCAAAACAAAAAATATAAACTAATTAAAAGACACAAGAATAGTTTGTCTAAGATTTTCTATGACAACAAATACATGCTTCTTTTTCTACTTTGAAATCTGACTCATAACACAATCATAAAAAGAAAAGTAAAATCCTCCCCAAGACTTTGCCCATCCACCTAACTGCCCTTCCCCAAAGATATCCACTATGCAACGGCTGCTTGTGTAGCCTTCCATTTTTATGCATCTGTAAGTAAAGTCTTTCTTGTTTTTTATTGAAATTACAGCCCACTATATGAACAGCTGACTTGTTTTTAAACGAAATATTCTGGTCACCTTTTCTTGTCAGTACATATTTCTCTCCTTCACTATTTTTCATGATTACATAGAATTCCATTGAGTACTTCTTAACCACTTCCCTTCTGATGGAAATTTCCATGGACTCCAGTTTTTCCAGCATTACAAATCATACTGCAGTGAGCACTGCTCACTGTATCGAACATTTCTGGGCACTAATATCAATGTATCTGTCAGATAAATTCCTAGAAATGACACAAGAAAGACTGAGCCGAGCAGCAGCTGGGGAGGTAGCATCTTCTCCTACCTCCTCACCCAATTCTGGGTACCATCTCCCCACCTTTCTTGACTTGGCAGATGAACATGGCATGTCACCTTTACCTGTATCTCCCTATGTAAGAGTGAAGACTAATGATTTTATTACTCATTTGCATTTCTTTATGAAAGGTGTTGCCCATTTTTTAACTTCTTGATCTTTTTTACGTTTCAATCAATTTTTCAGAGTTCCGTTAGCCTCCATCGGGCTGCAAGTATTTGCCACAGTTAGCTGCTTATGTTTTCAGTCCTACAGAGATTTTTAGTTTTTTTATCCAGTTAAATTTGTCTGTCGTTTAATTTATTTGTCTTTATAATTTGAGTTCCAGATCATATTAGGAAAGCTTTTTGCCAGGCAAAATTTTGGGGAAGTTTTTCAACGTGATTTCCAAAATTACTTCAATAATGCCGATAATATTTACATACAAGCACCCTCAAGCAATGGCTCCCTTCTAACAGATCATTATTCAGTAAAAACAAGCAAAGTATGCTTTCTCTAAAACTTCCTATAATCAGCTGATGGACAGCTCTGCACCAATTAAATACTGTTTACAACTACTACCCCAAAGGTTTAAATTTTTTTTTCCTTGAAATTTCTTCTTAAAATGGGAGTTGAAAAATAACTAACAAGTATGTTTAATTTCCGGGAAGTCCCAATTCTCTGACCCTCAATCCCTAGATAATCTTCAACAGTGTCAATATAAAAAAATAAAGTCCAAAAACTAGATTTTACCTATTGCATCTATAATTTAGTCACCTCTACAAAAGTACATGAATACTTCTGTATGAACAAACTTGTAGTTCTGCAATACCAGAAAACTGCTCTGGTCCTGTCATGGTATCGTGTTCCTTTCCAATTCCAGGTTCTGAAGCAGAAATGACTTCCACCTCAGATTGCAAAATTATAAATAAACCTCTTGCCTTAGTATACCAATTTGACCTACCAATTAAAGCCAAATTAGATGGTTTTTCTAGTCATTCTCTCCGTTCTCCATCAAGAAAAAAAAAAAAAAAATCCTGATCGTAAGTCTTCTATCTCAGTGCCAGCTGCCAGGCATTTAACAGCCTTCCATCTCGTAAGCTCACTGGCACAACAAGTAATACAACTTCGAAGTTAAGGAAACTGGCAAAACTCGGAGGGGAAAAAAAGAATATTTTCCATAATTTGTACAGCACTTGTTTAGCAAGTATGTAAGTGTTTCCGAAAGGGTGGTCAACTCTTCAAACTTTGAAAGAACCATCATACTGTTTCACATCCACCACTGCCAACTGCATTCAGTGGCCTCCTTCCCCTTTGGGGACTATTCAAAAAGTTACTATTTTCTTTTACAACTCACCCAGGCCTCTTCGCTGATGAAAGCAGGCAAAGCCCACGCTGTGTGTCTGTCTCCTAGAGAAGATTGCATCTTTTATTTATCGCCCCTTGGCTTTATTTTCACAGTGAATTCCTGGCTTAAATGTAATCAGCCAAGAAACCCTCCCTATGTGCTCTCCTGTCATTCCTCATTGCTTGCAAGCAGAGTCAAGCATAGAAGGGGAGGGAGAAGGAAAAAAAAAAATCCAACATTGCCAGCCAAGCCATAAAAATTCCCAAACTCTGGTTTGGTTATACTGAGAAACCATGGATGTGCTTCAATCCATTTCAACCCAGCAGGAACCAAGGGGGGGGGGGACGTGGGGGGGGGGAGAGGTGTAACTTTAAAGAATGCTAATTACATTAAAAAAAAAAAAAAAAAAGATGGAGAGCCTCAAAAGTAAGTTAAACCCTCTCTAGACCCAAGGAAAAGGTACCGAACCTCGAAGAGACAACGCTGGGGGCTGCCTTTGGAAACAAATGACCATGCAGAAAATCACGTTTGCAGATTGCATTAGAATTCAAATTAACCAGAGAGGATTAAACAAACCTTAATTCTCTTTTGGGGCCCCTACCCAGACCCCCGCTCGACTCCCAGAGAGAAGGATAAAAAGAACGGACTACGGGAAGAAAAGACGGGGATTCGGGGCCGGAGCCGCGTGCAGCCCGGTCCCCGGCATCGGCCCCGGCGCTCGGCACCACCGCGCTCGGCACCAGGACGCTCGGCGGCCGGCGCTCGGCCAAGGGGCGCGGGGAGCGCGCCGGCGGTCGGGAGGCTACGGGCGCGGGGGCCCGGACCGCATTGTTCCTCTCGCAGCCCCGCAGGGCAAGAGCTCGGGCCCGCGGGGAACGCGGGGGCGGGGCGGGGCGAGGCCGCGGGGAGCCTTTAAAGTCGGCATCGGAGGAAACTCTCCTGGTCTGTCAGAGAAAGGAGGGCTGCGCAGCTTTAAATCCCAAGTCCTCCTCTCGCCTTTGTCAAACATCTTCTACTTTACAAGCTCTGGAAAGAGATAGAGAGACTCTTTTGTTTAGTCCCCCTTTTCGGGGGGCGACGGGACACTGAAAGGGGCACAAATAAGCCTGAAAAGGAGAACAAAGTGCGGGGTCGCGCGGGGCCGCGGGGGCCGCGGGGGCTGCGGGGCGGCCGCCGAGCCTGAGCCTCTGCCTCGCGCTCCCACCGCCGCCGCCGCCGCCGCCGCCGCCGCCGCCTGCGAGCGCAGGGCCCGTAACCGCCGCCGCCGCCGCCCCGCGCCCACCAAACTCCGGCCCCGCACACGGGGCAGCGCCCAGCGACTCGGGGACGCCCGCGGGGGGGGGGGGCGGCCTCCGAGGACGCGGGGCCCCGGCCCGCCCCCCCCCCCCGCGCGCCTCCCGGGCCGGGCATCCCAACCCCGGGCTCAGCCCAGACGCCGCCGCGGCCGCCGGCCCGTCGGGGCCCCGACACGAGCCGCAGCCACCGAGAGGCAGCGCACCGTCGTCCCCACCCCTCCGACCCAGGGCGCGGGGAGGGGGCAGCGGAGGAAGAAAGAGGCGCGGGCGCGGGCGAGGGCAGGGCGGGCGCGGGGCAGGGGCAGGGGCAGGGGCAGGAGCGCGGCCCGGTCGCCCGCTCGGCCCCGCCGGCATTGTCTGCGCGGCCCGCGCCCCCTCCCCCGCCCCGCACGGCCCCGCCACACACACCCTCCGCCGGAGCCCCGCCGTCCGCCGGCGCCTTTGTCCACAACCACCCCCCCCCAAAAAAAAGGGCGAGCGACCCCCCGGGACGTGCTCCCCGGGAGGAGGGCGCGGGAGGCGGCGGGCCGGGCCCCCCCGGCACCCACCCGCCAGCCCCGCCGCGGGGCGAGTCCTGCTGATTCATTTCCCACTCGCGCTGGCCCGTCCGGGGAGACGGGGGCGGGGAGGGGCGAGGAGGAAATGGGCGCAGCGCTCCGGGGCACCGGGCGGGGGTGCGGCCGCGCCGGGCGGAGGGGCTGCGCGGAGGACAGGGGCCCGGCGCCCCCTCCCCCCGCGGGACGGACGGGCGGGCGGACGCGCGGACGGGCGGCCGGCCGGCTCCGGGGCTGCCCCGTGACTCACCGACTTGCAGGACGTTGTCGACGCAGCCGCTCTCCAGCAGCGCGATGCCCCGGCGGAAGGGCAGCCGCGTCTCGTCGCCGCCGTCCGCCGCCCCGGCGGCCCCCACCGACGGGACCCCGGCCCCGGCCCCGGCGGCGGCGGCGGCGGCGGCGGCGGCAGCGGCGGCGGCGGCCGAGGTGGCGGCCGGCGAGGACGAGGAGCCGCCGCCGCCCGCGCCGCCCGCGCCGCCGCCCGCGCCGCCGGGGCCGCCGCTGTCGTCGCCGGGGCCGCCCGCGGCGCCGCCGCCGGTGTTGAAGGACGAGTACATGCAGATCTCCCGCTCGCTGCGGGGAAAGGACCAGTACACGATGCGGCGCTGCACCGGCTCCGGGATGCGCTCGAAGCGCTCCTCCACGCGCTGGAACGGCCACTTCTCCGCCACCTTGCGCGCCGCGATGTCCAGCAGCGACTCGGGGCTCTGGGTCTTGCCCGGCGGCAGCAGCCCCAGCGCCGCGCCGCCCCCGCACGCCGCCGAAGCCGCACCGCCCGCCCGCTGGCCCGGCCGACAGGCAGAGCTGTAGCCGCCACCCGCTCCTCCGCCGCCGCTGCTGCCCCCGCCGCCGCCGCCGCCGCCGCCGCCGCCCGGCCGGCAGCAGAGCCGTTTCGCGGGAGGAGGCTGCTGTCCGCGCTCCGCCATGACCGCGCCGCTTCTAACCCGACAGCGGAAGTGCCGGGACCCTATAAACGGCACAAGGAAGCGCGACACGCACACGCCGCGGCGACGCCACGCTGCCATCTAGGGCCCGCCGCTCCTTGTACGGGCACCGGAGGCGGGGCCTCCCCCGTGACGTCAACGTGGAGGCGGGGCACCGATAGGGGGACCTAGGGCCAGGGGCGGGGACTATGCAAATCGCTGAGCTGAAACATAAATAGAGCGCTCGGCGGACACGGGGGTAGCGGGGGCGGCGAGGTTGGGTGCCCGACGGGTTGTGAGAATGTCAGGCCGGCGTGACGCGGGGGGCGGGGCTCAGGCGGGGTTCCCGCGGGAGGGGCCGGGCAGCGGGGCCGGGCCTCGGGTGGGTGGGTCCCCGTGCCCCCCGCCAACTCCACTTCCCCCTCCACAATTCCCCGTCTGCCTTTGATGTCCCGCAAGTGAGGACGTGCCTCGTGGATCCGAGCAGTGAGGGAAAGGGCGAAGGGGGGGGAAGGGTCCAGGCTAAGTGGGGGGCGGGGCCCGCGAGCCAATGCCCCACCCCCCCACCCCCCGTCAGAGCCCGGCCGCCGGGGAAAAGCCTCTGGGCGGAGGAGGCGCTTTCAAAACAAAGAAATGCGGCGTGGAACCCGGGGGACGGGGGTGGAGAGGAAGGCGGAGGGGGTGCGGCCGGGGCGGCCGGGCTGCCCGCTTCCCCTCCAGACGGCCCCGGGGAACTCCCCCCGCCACCGCCGGGACTGGCCGCGCTCGGAGGCCGCTCTCCAGTTCACTTTTGCAGACCCGGGCAGGGAAGGGGGGCGCGCGCCCCGGTGCCCGTGTGTCCTCCGCGCCCACGGCCCGTCCGGGGGCCGAGCCGGCCAAAGTGTCCCCCGCGGACGCGCGGAGCGCTCGGGACCTGCCCCGCTGCGGTGCGACGCGCGCGCGTCCCGGGCTGGCGAGCGCGGCCTCCCCGCCCAGCGCACCCTCCGCCGGCGCGGGGCTGGGACCTTGCCCCGGCTCCCGCCGCCCCCGCGGCCGCGCCGCCGAGACCCTGCTCCGGGCCCCGCTGCCCCTGCGCGAGGTGGCGGGGACACCGGGCGGGGGATTGAGCAAACACACCTTTCTGAGTACACACGCCGCGGGCGCGCGCACACGCGCACACACACACGCGCACCCCGCGGGCGCGCGCTCCCAGCCCCGCCGGCTGCAGACGGCGCGCCCCGGGCGCTCGGGGCGCACTTGGGTCGCGCCGCCGCGGCCCCGGACGGCCCGGGACGCGCGCTGCGCTCCCTGCAGCGCTGGTGGCTCGGGACCCGACCTTCCTCTGCGGCAGAGGCGGGGGCGGGGGGGGGGGATCCCCGGACGGTGTTCGCAGGCCCCAGAGCCCGGGCAAACCTGGGTCCGAGCCACAGACCCAATGACCTCCCTAGGCACATCCTTCCTCACTCTCCGCCCCACCTTGTTTTCACTGTAAACCGTGCTGCTGATACGGTCGCTATTGTGAAAGCCAAGCCGTGGCGCCTTTGACACTTCCACGTCTTTGCAGGTTGTAGGCGGGTGCTGCCCACCCGCCTGCCTCGTCGCCTCGATTGAAATTAAAGGGAAGAGAGCGCCTCTGCCTTTTAAAGAAAATCGCCCACCGAAGGCCCAGGCCCGGGAGACCTCGAACTGTAGGTCTCGGCTCTTAACCCTGGTCAGGCCCTTAGGAAGCCCAAAGCTGCAGGTCCCCGAGAGAAGCAGCTCTCTCTCTGCTGGCAGGCGCTCCCTCGCTGCCTTACTTGCCAGGAAAATTTTGATGACGTTATGTTTCTGTGCATGTGTCCGGTATTTTGGGATGCACCTCGGTGCTTAAGGGGAAGGCCGGGGCAAAAAAAAAAAAAAAAAAAAAAAAACTGGAAGAATGTCTTTATAGGCAAATGGGAGGGGAAGGCTCTTTCCTCTAGTTGTTCCACTTCTAGATCTCTTAAGAAAATAATGATTTTTAAACTTTTGAAAAACATAGGTGATAGGAGAAGAAAGTTAAGTCAAAAGTAAAGCACAATTTGAGCTCTCTTCTGTTCTCCAGCACAGTCATGCTAAGCCTCAGGCTTCTATAACAGTGTGTAGATCAGCAAGCATCTTCATCCATTTGCAGAGAGTCACTTATCTGGAAAGTGAAAGAAGACAAAGCAGGTGCCCCCACACAGGGCAAATGATTCACTCAGGGTCATGGGATGTGTTACTGGAAGAAATTAATTCATATTGAACAGAAAAACAGATATCTTTGGAGATACCTAACGTTAGAGACTTAGATTTGGTAATGAACCAAAGAGACTAGATTTAAGGCATCATCCTGCAGTTTACCTAGGATGTTGGGTTTAACTCTAGTTTAATTCAAAGAAGAATCCAGAGTCACCATCTCGGCTCCATCTCCCCTCTTAGCGCTCAAACTGAGAGCACTCCCTCTGTCTTGAGCTGTTCTCCCCCTGGTTTTCCGGACACGTCACTGTGGATCCAGCATTTCCAAGTCATCTTTCTCTGCCTTGTCTTTGGGTGTCTCTTCCTCCAAACTCTTCAACGTATACCCTTCTTTACAGCCTATCGTGGTCCTCTTCTCCAGTTTTGGTGACCTGCCCTTTGGAGACTTTCTGCCACTCCCACTCCCAGCCATGGGTTCTGCTTCAGCTCACTTGTTTCTTCTGGTGGCTGCCCCCTTTTCTATTGCCCTGAGGGTGCCGCATGGCTACCTCAAACCCAGACATCACCATTCCCTGGAAATCAGGCTCTCTTCCTTCCTCTAGACTGTTATTACTGCTGCTGCCTGTTACAGGCCTCCCAGCCTTATTCCTCTTTGCCTCTGCCTGCAACTCCCATCGAGGTTCCTTTGCTGGGTTGTCTGTCCCAGCCCCTCTCTCTGCTCAGTAAATTATTCCGCCTCTCCACTCTGCGGGGCCTCCTCACTGGTATGTCTGTATAACCTTTCCTCCTCCAAGTCCTCCTCCACCCAGCTGTTGTGCTTCCTCAAGTACGATTCAGATGGTGTCACCCTCCTGCTCAAGTCCTTTTAAATGGCTCCCTGCTGCCTACTGGCAAAAGACCAAACTCAGATATGATCTTGACCAAACTCCGCTTTCCAGCCTCATCTCCCTGAGACCCAACAGAACTTCCAGTTCTCCAACAGGATTTTTCTTATATTCCAAGAGGACTTCTCTCAGTTCCCCGGAGTTCGTCCCCATATTCCTACTTGCCACATTTGCTCAAGACAGTCTACTGCCTCTAATGACTCCCTCTTCCCTTGCAACTTGTCAAATCCCTACCCTACCTTCAAGGACTTGCTCAAATGCCGCTTCCTCTGGGAAAACCCACCTAAATGTGTGATCTCTCCCCACCAGCCCTTCTAACACTTTGGATCTTTCCTACAGCATTTATACCATCACAGTTATGTTTACACTTGCCTGAGCCATTCGCCTTCTCTCCCTTCCCTGGTTAGAAATTCTCTGAGGGTTAGGGCTATGCCTCAGCCATTTCTGTAGTCCCAAGCGCCCAGCACTGTACTGCAAGGCTTCTGTCTCCCCAGAGTTTAGCTACACCCATGAGCCAAGGAAGAAGTAAGTCACAGTGTGTCATCATTGGCTGGTACTTGTGCCAGCTCTCGCTTGAGGGGTATTTACAGTGTTTTCCTGGTGTTCATAGAAATCCTTACTAAATTACTTATAATTGCCCTTTTCAAACAGGACCCGACTCCAGGGACCAAATCAGGGCTACTACAGACCCCTGGTTATGCTCCAATGTTTGCCATTAGGCAATGGTAGGAAATCAAAGTACAGAAAGTCTACAGCTTCCCAAATGCAGTGACTCATCCTATCACATCACACCACACCACATCTGCCAGTGTGGTCAGGTGCTAGGCTGACAAGCAGACTTCATTATCAGGAATCCCAGTAGCTACACGGATAGCCTCAAGGAAGAGAAACACCCCTCCTGGAGCACCATACCTAGCCCCTGGTCCATGAAGTTGGAGGCACACATGGATGTATGGCAAAGGAATTTATTTGAAAGGGGCGGTAGAGTCCCATCCAGAGACCAAGCATGGCTCCTGTACCCACCTTTAATTTAAAAATGAAAATTTTGAATTAAATTCAGTAGAGATTTATCAAATCCCAGGAGCAGTGGTTTTCAAAGAGAGACCCTTAGCATGCCCCTGAGCATGACTCACAGAATTTTGGAGCTTAGGAACCAGAAATGGACAATCACTCACTCCCCACCTAAGGCTTCTTTACACTCAAGTTTGAAAACTACTCTTTGGTGGCAAGAACTTCAAACAGTCCCATTGCTTAGGAAGAAGCCTCCAAAAAGAAAAAAAAAAAATGACATTGCCTCATCATTATTGCTAGTCATCTCAGCTAATTAAGGGAATAATTTGCCTTTAGTAGGAAGATTCCAAGACATAGAATTAGATTAGATTAGATTGGATTAGCTCGAAGGAACCTCAAGTCATTTGAAGATGGACACAAAGTTATACCCATGCACTTCCTAATACTGGGATACACTTTTTATATTATAACCAAATCCCATTATGTTCCCTGGAATATAATTGAATTGTTTAGAGAGGAAGAAAAGCCTGAAACAGCATGGTTAGCCGATGAACCAGACATTATTCGCCCATCCAGTAGAATGACAAAGAATTCTCTTCTACATGGCTAAAAAAAGAGTGAAGAATGAGTTATCAGAGATGACACTCCATCAAGGCAAAACATCCAATAATAGGGAAAAGTACCCAAAGAATCTTTCTGGTCAATTATTTCCACCAAATAGATTCTTGGGCAAAACAAGAGGTGGGCAGGAAATGATCAACGCAGAGCTGAATGAACTAAAAGAATTGCTCCATCCCTAACGAGGGGGAAATTTTGATTAATTTCGACTTTGTTGGGGCACCTGGTTGTCTCAGTCCATAGAGCATGCAACTCTTGATGTTGGGGTTGTGAGTTCAAGCCCCATATTGGGTTTAGAGATTACTCAAAAATAGA